GACCAGAGCGTGCCTGAACTCCAGGTATGCCTTAATTTGCTTCAGAGCAATTATTATCTGAATATCTGAAATGACTCCCAGCTACGGTGTCTACATCAAATTGACTGGGACAAGTGATTGGTGAAAATATTAGATGAAGGGAAGGAAATGTGCAACCCTACAGACACCTTAATGAACACTACTCCAATCATTTGCAGTTATTTTCATAGGAAGCCCACCTGGAGTATGCAGATGGGGCCTTGAAGAAAATTTCTGTTAATAAGACCCAACATATTACATTTGTTTCTTTGAAAAACACAATTCCATTTTCCTTATAACTGTTTTTAGAAATATTTATTTATTTATCTATGAGACTGAGAGAACTCTCATCTTCTGGTTCACCCCTCAAGTGCCTTCAATGGCCCGGGGGACATAACAAGGAGCCAGAAACTCCATCTGGTTTCCTATGTGAGTAGCAGGGGTCCAGGTACTTGGTCCGATTTCCCCACATTCCCAGGCATGATAGCAGGGAGCTGGATCAGAAGCACAGTCACCAGGAATGGACCCAATATTCTGATATGGAATGTTGGCATTGCAAATGATGGCTTAACTTACTGTATCACAACACCAGCCTCTTAGAACTCTTAGTTAACAAAAAAGAAGAAGAAATACTGGTGAAATGAGCCGAAACAGGTAATAAAGTTTGAATCAAAATATGAAGTATATTTTGTTGCATTTGCAGAGTACTTTTGTTAAAGCCATGAAAGTAACTGTGTGTTTAATATTCAGAGGTAAAGTATTTCATTTATTTCAGTCCATGTATTCATAAGTAGGAGAGCAGCACACATACTTATCTGATGACACAGGGTGACAAGAGAAACTCATGGTCAGCGAAGGGGAGAGGCTCTTGGGTTGCTGCCTCTGGGAGCCTGTGAAATGCCTGAAAATACACTGATCCCACAGGCCGTGGGCCTTCACATTCCCTGGATTCAGCCTGGCCAGTTAAAAGCACACAAACTATTCGGAGCAGTCAGGCCATGGGGACAAGAAAAAGGGAAACAAGTTCCAAGAACAAATTGTACTCATTTATTTAATCCAGTGAAGCCGATGGGGGCTGTAGTATGTGCTGAAAGTCTGTATCAATTCCAGATGCACATGTGTTCTTTCCCATGGTGTCAACATGATGTCAGGTCACAGGGGGTTCCAATCTGGTGATCACTTTTTGCTTGCAGTAAACAGTCACTGCTTAAGACTGTTTCAACAGCAAGTACACAGAGGATGACAGGGCACTGGCTCAGAGGCTACAGCTTATTAAATATTAATTCTGGAGCCTCATGGTTAAGAAAGCAGATTCAAACCACAGTTCCTGGCCCTGAATCCTAATTCCAAGACACCTTGTACTTGGACACGGAACCCAAGATCTGTCTCTGTGTTTCAACTCCTTCATCTATACAATAAAGATCATATTGTAAATGTTCTGCACAGAATTGTTGGTTGGGCTAAATGAGGATGTTGCTTGAATTACAGAGAGATCTCAGTAAACATTCTCACAGTCATTGTGAATCCTGTCCATCATTTTTGCTGGTCTTTTCCTCTTAATAGCAAGCTGGGTTAAGTAAAATGCATCAGACTACCTTCCCCCGCAAAGATGGACCCCACCAACCTTAAAAATTCTTGGTTGATATTTTGGCTCTGTAGGATAAGATGTGGGGAAAAGAAGCTGAGAAGAAAAAAATAGAGACTTGGAGAAGCACAAAGAAAGCCTCAGGGAGCAGATAGGCCTGGAGGCAGAGAGAAAGAGACATTTTGAATGCCAGGAGAAATTAGAAAAGAATAAAAGGAGAGAAACAGCTCCCCAACCAGGAGCAACACAGAGGCTGAACCGTCCACACGGGCACAGGATTGAGGGTGTTACCTTTTTGCTGGTTTATTTTCATTTTGTGTGTGAGAATGGGGGTGAACCAAAATAGTATCCTTTGCTTTTTTTTTTTCTTTTTAAAATCATTCAGTTCTGTCTGAGAATTTGCTCCCCTAATCATAATTCTTCAGGAAAAAACAACGGCCACCAAAGAAAACAAAAAATCCCCCAGACACGTAGGATGTCTGCACACATTTGGACAAGACTGTAGAAGTACAGGAAGCAGCAGAGCTGCAATTTATGTCATATTGAGACATCATTTATAAAATACATGGAAATTGGGCTTGCCTTGCTCTTCTACAAATTATTTACTGGAAAGCACTAGGGCAGGAACTTTTTTTTTTAAGCAACTAGCTTTTTCCATGTCAGATAACACTAAAAACAGATTATTATCATCATTCTCTGTTGAAAAATAGCCAACAGTATTTACAACCTTCTAGATGATTACCAATATCTCACAGGACATGTGGAATTCTGCAAAAGTTGCTGAAATGAATTATAAACTCAGAAAACTTTCCTAAACTGTAATTTTGCCTCCCAACTCCAGTCACTATCATTTAGATAATTTAGGCAATTCCCCCACATTTGACATTTCTTTTCATGATTTTTTTCTTCTTGGATGTAAAAAAGTTAGAATGCCCTTTTTTTTAAAGATTTATTTTTATTTGTTTGAAAGAGTTATAGAGAGAGGTAGAGGCAGAGAGAGAGGTCTTCCATCTGCTGATTTACTCCCCAGATGGCCACAACGGCTGAAGCTGCACCAAGGAGATTTTTCCAGGTCTCCCATGCGGGTGCAGGGGCCCAAAGACTTGGGCCATCTTCCACGCTTTCCCAGGCCATGGCAGAGAGCCGGATCAGAAGAGGAACAGCCAGTCTAGAACCAGAGCCCATATGGGATGCTGGCTCTTCAGGCCAGGGCGTTAACCCACTGCGCCGCAGCGCTGGCCCCAGAATGCCTTTTGTAAGTGGGTTCTACCTGTTCTGAAATTTATTATCATTCTTCAGGCTTCCAGAAAAAACTCCTGAACTAAACCGTTTCTCAAGGCTCTAAACATTCCACATGTTGATTGACCTAGTGTTGATCACCTGGGACTGATGGACTGCTCTCTACAGTTCATTTGTAGCTTCTCCACAGTTAAATTAATACTAACTACAAACTTAGCAGTTACTGGTAGTGGTACATCATCATCTCTCCATTATGTCCTCAATACACTTGAAAATCCCACACCTGGGAAGAATTATGTAAGAGGTTCAGGACTGTAGCTTCAGAAAGGATGCATTTGATTGTCTGAATTATGCCCTAATTCTCTTCCTCTCCTAATGTACTATAAATAAAACATCCCTGTGAAACCAAAATTTTTTAATGCAGCTGAAAAACTCATGTGAAGATTTTTTTGTGTGTGTAGTCAAAATATTTCTTCACTTGAACCCAATCATAAAACATAAAATGCCTGTTTTCTAGTTTTTTTGTATTCATTGTCTATTGTGTCCCAGACACTGTGCAAGGCACAGAGGTTACAACAGTGAATAAGATTTAGTATTACCATTGTTATGCTTATAGTAGCACAAGAGAAAGAAAGAAAATCAGCCACTCCTATACAATTTGATTAATTCTCTGCTAAGGGAACCTGTAAGACATCCTGGTGGGAGGCAGAAGGCGGGAGGCACTGTCTCCCGCTTCAGGATAAGGTCAAGGATATTCATGTCAGTTGTTGTTGAGTTAACAACTCTTCAGACACTTACTGAAAAGTTTCCTTGAAAATTTGTTCCTTGATTAGAGCTCAGAAGTATGTATAAAGATGACCACACTTAAAATGTACGGATAAAAAAACTAAAAGCAAAATCATGGAGGGAACAACATAGTATATGTAGAAGTGCCAAAAAAAAAAAAAAATGGCATGGCTGAATGAAAAGGTAGTAGATAAAGGAAGGGTGCCCTTAGGGCTCCTTAGGGCTGACTTTTTAATGTCACTGTAAGGAGTCATCATAAATTCATCCTGGAGAAGAAGGTCCAGACGTGCCAGTTGCCAACCTATTGCTGCTCAGCTCCAGATCCATCTTCCTTTGCTCTGGAACATTTCTCCACTGCCAGCCAGCAGGACACTGTGCTTCATGGGTAGAGGGTGCGAGGGTCTATGAATGAAATGGGGCTCTGTTATCAGGTTCTGGTGTACATTTTTATGTCAGGATCCGGAGTACTGGGGAAAATATCCTTCCAGAGAGTTCTACCAGTATAACAGCACATTAAATATCTGTTCCATGCTATGGCCCATGCTAACACTCTCTTCAATATAACCATCCTGGAGGGGCAAAGCTCATGTGTTTGATCCTACTTCAGATCTCAGGCCTTGGTAACTCTCTATTCTCTATATCAACTTGTCCAATAATTACAACTCTCCATTAGAGAGAGTCGATAATCATTCTTCATATTGACTTTTCCTTTTCAAACTACCATGTTGTTTGTCTCTTCCTCAGACCTTACTGGGTTATAACTTGTTCTGGGAAAGATTGCTGAAAATAGACCCATGAAGATGACATTTGAGGATGAGTTTGGTCATGCCTCAGGTCTTGAGCTGAGCGCTGAGTTCCTTGCCAATGGGAAGTGGTTGTTATTAAGCCATGACATGTAGTGATGTAACCATTAATCAAGCTGTCACCTATGGTTGATTGTGATGAGGTGCCAAGTAAAACATGTGCTTTGGGAGTCCAATTGGCTATAGCACTTGACCCTTCAGACAGTAGCCCAAGGATTATTGGAGAGTCAAGATGTAGAACAGATTCCTCTGGATACACTAGTTTGCTTACACAAAGCAAATGATGAGTTCTAGTCTTTTAACTCTCGGCTCAAGTCCAGAGAAGTAGAACCTCTTATTAATTATAGCTATTGGCTGCCACTGAATCTAACTCAGATTTTATGTTAAGTGAAAAGAATAAAATAGTATTTGTTTGAATCTTTGTTGGTAGGGATTTTGACAATTTGCAGTGTAAAGTACTCCTATAGATTTTTAAGAAGCTTGTCTGTGAAGGTAATTAGGACAGTATCTAGGACATAATGACTTCAAATTTGGGGAAGTTGTTTTATTTGTTTGGAGAGTTGTGCATTTGCTTTAATTTTATTTTGTATTTTTAAAGTAGAACACATCTGTGCTCATTTGTAAGTTGAAGAGGAGAGACCAGTAGAGAAGGAGAAACTGAGTACAGAGGAAAATGAGATAACGCATGATGGAGAAAGGTTGCAGGTAAGATTAAGTGGTGGATAGTATAGGTGACAAGATTAGCCCCATGCAGACGGAGAGAAACTTCCCATTTCCTGAAGGACAGAGATAAATTAGGAAGAAGAGTTGGAAGGGAAGGACAGGGGGAAACTGAGAGAATCTTCACCTTATTATTCTGTAATATGCCCCCAGTGAGACAAACTCACAATCCAGTTCTGCTCACTTAGCCTAGAGTGTGTTCTCCACATTGCCCAGAATCCAAACCAGCTTCAAAAACGGGAATCTAAGTTAGTCTCATGATGGATTAATTTCTCTCATTTCTCTCCTCCTCCTAAGCTACTTTGTAATTGCAAGCAGGCATTGGGAAGAGCAATTTCAAGGGCCTTCAAAGCAGGCTTACAGTAGGCAGTGACCTACTTACCCTCTAGGTAAGACAGGTGCTGCCAAAACATTCAGCATGTGCTTCTGTACTGTCCAGGAATTGAGAGAGGAGATGTGAGATCCCTGGGCAAAGTAGCAGTGTCAGACCAAGTTTGACTTTGAGTATTTGTAGATCTAGGTTATCTTGGGATGCAGTGATTTAGTATTTTTAAATGGAATCTCTGTAGGACTATGTCAAAAAGGGAAAACGAAAAAAGAAAGGAAGCCTGTTTTCTGCACAATGAATGTGGGGGTAAAAAGGCAGCTACTGATAAACTTTGCTTCCCACCTTGGGTGAGTCACTGTTTGTACGCTTGTCATTGACCTTGAGATTTAGCAATTGCAAAGGCTGATTTCATCAAAGATGAAACAAACTGTCATAATCCCACCTCCAACAGTAACTTTGCCTCTTTTCAGAGTTTTAGCATCATAGCAAGTGGTCAGACATTTCACATAGCTTGCAAATTCTCCACGGTAATTCTCGGAAGTAGGTTTAGAAATAACAAGGAGCTTTACGCCTCCCCTCTTGGCTGGTGAATAACTTCTAGGGAACTGGAATCACTGGTGCCATCCACCCTCTATCCCTGGAGTTGGCTGCAAAGGACTCTATAGCCTCACATCAAATACGCCTTAATGCATAGCACTTGCAAGACAGTTCGCATGATCTTGTGAATTATGATTCATGGCTGGCCCGTTGCTAAGCCAATTCAAAGGCACACTGCACTTTACAGAGCCAAAAGCTTGCACCCTAAAAGCCTACCCACTTTATTCAATTCTAAGCATTATTCAGCACTTATAAAGAAGGAAAAAAAAGTAGTGATGACTCTTTATGCCTTTATTATAGATTCTACGGAATAACTGAATGTGTGTAGCCCCATGTTAAGAAGGCAAAGAAGGCTCTGTCATATGCTGATTAGTAAGTTAACCTTCTCAGACATAATGCAAGACCCACCACAACTTCCCCTGTGCAAAAGGCAGGAGAAAAAAAAAGTGTGACACAAGAAAGCTTTTCTGAAAGGATACACAGGTACTACCATGCACTTATGTTGTTAAAGCATACCTGAGCCCTGTCTACAGTCAAGAAGTGTCCTTGCTGTTTGTGCTCCAGGAAATGGCTTACTGTAGGATAAATGCCCTTTGCCATATGACTTGGATAAGATCTTCACAGTCAACATCCTGTTTACCTGTCACAAGGTCAGACAAGGACCTTCCAAATGTTTCTTTGTTTCATAAATCATTATCTGAACTATTTGTTCCTCCTGACAATTCTGGACAAAATACTAACATAACTTTTTTGTACATCCAAGCATCTCTCCTCTCCATAGGACCCTGAATTTGGACCTAACCTGAGGCTACATCAGCTGCTCCTCAGATAGCCCTCCTGCAAGTCAGGTGACCACAAGGAGAAACATTCTCTGATGAACAGTGCAGTCACACTACCCACTCATCCTATGTCCCCATGCCCAGTTCCGTTCAGCCTTGTCTTCTCTTTCCTGTAGAAAGCCCTTTCTACATGACCTTTAAGATGCTTGGAAATCTTATGATTTGAGCATCCTCCCTATTACAATAACCTCCTCCTCGTATTGCAGTAGACTTTTCAAATGAACTCTCTTCTTTCTAAGTCTAGATTTGTTTCCACTTGGCAATGCTTATGCTCAGTTTTCTTCGTGTCCTTCCTGGGGAGTGGGCTAGTCTGCATCAGTGGTGCCAACCTAAAACTAGGCTCAGAAAAGTGCATAATCTTTCCAAAACTCAAAGAACTTTACAGTACTGATTTAATTTGCGACTACCTTTATATTGAAGAAGATAGCACAAAGCACTCTGTGTATGTGAGGAAGCTGCCCCATGACATGAGCAGGAGGAGTAGGGAGGTGTTATTGTAAAGTGTGTCACCCAGCAGGGCAGTGTGGTCTAGAGAGAACCCGGGGTCCAGGCACTCCACATTCCAGTCCCACATCGACTAACTGACCTTTGGAAGATGACTTATTCTCTATGGGGCGTCTGTAATTTTATCTGTAAAATGAGGGGATTGAACTTTGTGATCTCTAACCTCCCTTGCAGCTCTAAAAGTCTATGATTCTGAAACAATTTAGAGTAAATCACAAGGACGAACCTTCAGGCAGTCAGATCAGCAAAGGTGACTGCAAGGAGGGCTACACGGTGTTACGGCCGGGGGCCGTAATGAGATTTGTAATTAAATATAACAACACGGGGTCATAATCAGATCTCATGCTTCAGAAACCACATTAATCATGATAGGGATCAGGTAGGTCACTCTCCCTAGAATGCAGTAGGGACCTTGAAAGGAGAGTGAAGCATCACTCTTCCTCTCTGGCACGAGCAGAGTACTGTAGACGGGGAAAGCTTGGGCCAGGCCAGAACGCTGGGGCTTTAATCCTGTGTTGCACTTTAGTTTCCACCTCAGTAAAATGAGAAACGTAGATCCATGCCTCAGCCTTTCCCAAAGCATCTCCAGCATAAAAAGCAAGCTATGGGCTACCAAAACATCTGACAAGTTTTTATTTTCTTAAAATGAGGAGGACTTTATTCATATTCCGCATTAGATTTGATTCCATCGAAAATTTAATTTTTTTCACACTATAAAACTCCTAAGAATCCTAAGGTTTGGTTTACCACTTCAACAGAGCAGTGAGAAAGAGGGGGGGGGCTCTGCAGAGAGTAGATGGACCTGCACCCCCGTTGACCCTTCTAGAACTGGTATACTGGGATTCTTAGACCCAGGAATATCCTTGTATCTGGAATAATCCTCTACCAAATTGTGAAGTCTGGTGTGCTATGAACAGGACTTGGTTAATGTGAGAAAAGGGAACAAATCTGGGAGAGTGAGTGCCAGGCCTTTAAAATGAAAATTGGTGCTCATAGGCGAAGGAAAAGCAGACATAGTGAGACTTCAGAATCCTTGGGGCTCGGATCAAATGCTGCAGATCCGCCAAGCCTGAGGCCAGCCCTGAGGTACAGAGACAATAAGATGGCTTAGCCTAATAAATGCCTCAAACCTTGCTCTGTCTGATTCAAAACTAGCATTTTATGTAATGTACTACCATCTATATTTAAAGTGACATGATTTAGACACATTTATTTCACACATTCCCATAGCCATACCATCCATTCTCAAGGCCTCTTCAATGACCCAAGGTGAGCTACAGCTAAGGTGTAGTTCTGCAACCACTAAGGTCTGTGTTCATGTGTTGAAAGACCCCAGACTTGTTACGGAGGGCAATAGCTTTATCATGGTGTTGCTCCTTCAAGGATCACCCCTGTACACCTTATGATCTTGCCCCAAAATCCCTTAAAGAATCTTTGTTACACCTTCTACCCTTCCAAATCAGCAACTTCCTTAGGACTTGCTTCAAGATAGGAAAATGGAGTTGAGCGAGTCACAGCTCCTGCCCTCAAGTAAACTAGCAAAACATAAATAGCTGACACAAGGCAATTCAATTCAGTAGATTTATAAACTCCTTTTTCTCTCACTTCAACCCTGCAGCAGAATTAACCAAACAAGATCCTTCTTGATGCCTGCTTCCCTGAGAAAGAGAATGCTAATTTAGATTTAACCTGAAACTCTTTGTGTGACCCTGGTAACTTACAACTATAGAATCTTCTTAAACTGCCACAAACTAGATATCATAAAGACTTGGGAATACGAAGGTTTGTCATTAATCTATCAGTTACTGGTTAAATATTTTAACTAATGCTTGTACTACCTGAATGAGAGCAATGTTCAGAAATTGATCCAGTATAAAAACTGATGTAACCTCTGCCTCTAAGATCTTAAGGTAAAATTTCAGCAAGTTCAACATTCCAGAAAAGTCTTTGAATTGTAAGAGAAAAATGTCAACAAATGTAGCAAAAACAGCTGCCACAAAACACAGAGTATGATCATTTTGTTCTTGGAAATTTTTGATATTTTCCTTCATGGAATAGGCAGAATAATCTCTTCCCAAAGATGTCCACATCTCATCTTTGAAGTTTATGAATGTGCTGTATAATTTGACAAAGAGTAATTAAGAATAAAGAGAAGATTAAAGTTGCTAACAGGTTGCCTTGAGATGGAGAGACTATTCTAGATCTTCTGGGCAGACCAATGTAAATTGCAATGTATAAGTGGGAGATGGTGGCAGAAGAGTGAAAAGTAGACACATAGAAGACTGGAAAGCTAACAGGGCTGCCTTTAAAGATGTATATGGGAGAGGAGGCACCAACATGGCCTCTAGAAATTGTAATGGACAAGCAACACATTCTCCCCTAGGGTGCTCAGAAACAAAACAAAACCTTTGCCCTCCTCGGTACCTCAACTTTATGAAAGCCATTTGAAATTTCTTACATCAAGAACTCTTAAGCTAATACATTTGCAGTATCATTTTAAATCATTAAGTTTGTGATAATTAATATAGCAGCCATAAAAAAACTTTCGCAGTAGTTACATGGCATAAAGAGGGAAACAACTGAGGCAGCCAACATAGCTGAGAGAGAGAACAGAGAGTCAGAGACACTTGAAGCAGACCCACAGTGGCTGCAAGGGCTGCCTAAAGAGAGGAGAGAGTGAAACCACCAGCGAGGAAAAAGGATAGCGTGGGAGACCACAAACCACAACAGCCCCCAAGAGAGGAATGTGGAACCACAAAGCAGTCACCCACAGAACCGCAGAACTAGGAGTGCTTTGAAATCTAACCATTGCGGCCTACAACAGTGGTCTCTGAAGGCATAATTTAATTCTAAGGTTGACTATCTTGCACTCATAAAACTGGCCAATCTCCATGAAAAAGTCAAACTACATCTGGGTATTAGAAGGAAAGAAAGTGCTGACTATTTAGAATCCTTTTAACTATCAGAGCCAACAGAGTGTTTCTGTTCTCAATCTTTTTGGTTTTCTGTCCATAAACCATTTGGTTGCATAAAAGCCATACATTACCAGTAAGTTATTCTTAAGAAGAAAACCACTAGAAAAATGACTGTGAAGGTGAAGCATATATAGCTTGAACAGTATTGTTTTGTTTCCATGACATTCCTTTTTCTAGTTTGTGTTTTTCCTCACTGGCTGCATCTCATCCTCTTTCCCAGCTTCTTTTACTAATTCCACTTTTGTTCTCTCAGATCTACTATCTGTGCGTTTCCCCTTCTTTCTCTTTCACTGTGTGGAATCCACCAAGCTCCTGCTTCCCACCACAGTGAATACGCTGATATCACTGAGCTTCATTTAACTTAGAATCTCCCATGAGTTGCTCATGTGCATTTCATTCATTTGAATCTTCTGAGCTTCAAAAACTTAAAATGTACCTAAATAAAACTCAAAATCTCCACCCTCCTTTACCTCAAAATTCCATCCATTTTTTTTTTAAATTCTTTACTTTGTTGAATTGTAACACCATACACTCAGTTGTCCAAACCAGAATTCTGGACAGTGTTCTCTCTCAGACTTACAACTTTGGCATTTGAAGCGGACATAGGAGCATATTTCTTAGACCTCATACATACATTTTGTGACACTTGTATGGCTACTTTTACTGCATAACCAAACTAAAACTATGTGGCATCCAGCAACCATCTTATGCTCATTTATACTTTGGTTCAGGAATTTGGACAAATAACAATGAAAATGGCTTATCCCTCCTTTGTTTTTGTTTTGTTCCATTTTGAGAAAGAGATGGGCTATGAAAAGGTGCATTCATCCCCTAGTATACTCCTTAAATGTCTGCGACAACCCTGGGCTAGAGGCTGAGGCTGGGTGCTGAGAATTTAACCCAGGTCTCACACATGGGTGACAGGAACCCAATCACTTAAGCCTCACAGGCTCTGCATTAGTAGGAAGCTGGAATCAACAGTTGGAGCCAGACATCAAACCCAGGCTCTTTGACGTGGGTATCTTAATCTTTAGGCCAAACACCCATCCCTTTG